TGCAAATGATTTGCTGGGATTATGCCCAGAGTCCTACACGCTCTTTCCACAGAAATCACAGATGTATTATAGAACAGTGAGAACATTATTAGGGCAGGGAGATATGTGAGGGACAAATAAACAACCCCCGCTGGCAACAAAACAACTAGGCATGGGGTAAGGCCACAGCCAAAGGAAGAGCTGACAGCTTCTGGGAACTGCTGCATACCTGGGCAGGGCTCTGCTGCCAGGACTAGGTGATGCGTGACATTCAGCTGGGCAAGCAAAGTGGCCCATCCTGTCCTGTCCCTCTGTTTCACAACTTCCCACCACCCAGGGAAGAAGCTGACTACATATTTGTGCTCAGACCCTTCAGCTTGGGTGAACTGAGAAAAGCCAGGTGAGCAAAGGGAACAGCAAACAGCACAGAGAAGGGAAAACACTCGCTGCGACGGAATGGAGGAGAACATCATGTGACCTGAGCGACAGGCTACCTCTTGATGAGCGGGATCTTAGTGCTCCAGTTGTTGAAAGATCCAGAGATGAAGACCTCTTTGCCTCCATCGGCCCAGCGGATGACAGTGGGACGAGCTTGTTGGGATGGTTTCACTGACTCCTCCAGATCTGGCTGCCACGTCACAAACTCCTTGTCCCCAGGAATCTGAGCAAAGAAAACCAGAGCCTGACTGAGACACAGAGACAACCGGGACCACGTTCACTTCCTCCTGGACTCTACCAGCCCACCTGCACATCCCAGACAAAAGCATTGCAGAGCTACTCCAGCCTCCCAACTCTCCACAGACCCCTCGCATGGCTGGGAGGGCAGAGCCAGTGAGTTGAAGCCCCAGCTGGGGCCCCAGAGTGCAGGACAGGAAAGGCAGTGGCCAGCCCTTACCTTGGAGTCATGGGAGCTAAAAACACTGGGGTCATCGGTGCTGCCCACCATGATCTTGTGCGGGTGCTCCTTGGTGGGGTGGGAGGCCCCGGAGCCATCTGAGCGGTGGGACTTGGAGCCATGGCGCTCCCCAGACACTCGCTCGCTGGTGGTGTTCCCCATGATGGCTCAGCAGCCCCTGTGACAGAGAGAGAACAGCAGTGTGTCTGTGCCCACGGGCTCCAGCAGCAAGCAGAGGAGCAAAGGCGGTGTTTCCCAATGCTCTTTGTCAGGGAAGACTGACAGCAATCCTAAAAAAGGCCCGAAGTTCATTCCCACTGCCAAGTTTGGGAGCTGAAGGGGAATTTAACAAACAAGACAGCTTGACCTAATTATAACCACATCCTTATGAACCATCACTCCGGTCAAGCTGGTAATTGTTATTCTCCAAAACGGATACTAGTTAGCCTGTGTCGCACACAAGCCCTCAGCAGCCAGCATAGTAGAGGGGCTGATGGGAAAAATAAAGCCAACCTTTATTGGCAAATCAATTGCTTGCCATTAACAGAGCTTCTTTCACAATCCCACAGTCAGGCTCTGCAGACAAATCCCCTCCATCCAGCAAGAAAACAGACAGAGAGTGAAAGCAGCAGCTGTTTAACAGCTCCCAACAAGTCTCCAAGAGCTTGCAGGCAGAAGAGCAGAGCCTCGCGCCTGGCAAAGGCGACGGGGGAGCATTTAAAGTGTCCGAGTGGAATCGCCCAAGCTGGAGCTTGGCCAAGGCGTGGGGCTAATGCCGTGGTGTCTGCAAAAAGCTCAGCTCTCGACAGCATTCACTTATGATTCACCAGGCAAGCCACCATGTCAGCTGCGGCACAGTGCAGCGAGGAGGTCTGTTTGTTGTGTCCCTTATCAGCGGCACCACCCCGAACGCTCCGGCATCTGCCCAGCCATCCGGAGGCACAGGACGAGGGAAGGGCAACCCCAGCCACCTCAGTGCCCCTCTGCAGCTGGAGACGGGCTGCCATCCCTCAGCTCAGAGAAGGCAAAGCAGAAGAACTGACCGTACAGTGCCGAGCCATAATCAACTAGACACCTCCCAGGACAAACAACAAAGCCACCACAGGCTATACGTGACTCTTCAGGCCTTACCCGGTTTCCAGCAGCTGAGGTGGATGGGGGCTCTTGCCCCCTTCCCCCCAGGCCTATTTCGCAGCTTTCAGCTTACTGCACTGATCATGGGCTCTGCAGGGCAAGGCAAGAGGACAGCCAGCCTTGCTTCACACACTTAGTTGTGACATTTGGGGATTTGTTTAGAAGATCAAGTTATACAAAGGGTGCCAGACAAGGCTGCCAGCCAAAGCCAGGCTTTAGAACGTTACAGAGCAATTACTAAAGTATTTCTTAAATCCTGAGGGCTAAAAGGCAGCTTGAGAGAGCAGCTAACCCATACCCCCCACTCAGCGAGGATCAAGTGTACCTGAAGATCCAGGTCAGATGAGCTGCACCACTTGCTCTGACATCTTTACCGTCTGCCCTGGAGGAGGCTCAGCCAGTTCCTCACAAAACCTGTCCCTGTGCCACTAGACTTGCCATTAAGGAGCTTCTTTCCCAGTATCTCTGCTAAAGGCTCCCTTACTTCTCATCTATGGGGGGAAGCAAAGAAGGGCAGAACATCTTAAGGGCTGAACATCTTCTTGTACCAAGACAGACCTGAGAGACACGTGCAGATGCCGACAGACGGTAAAACTTCCCTTTCTCTTCTCTAAAAGGAATCCAGTCCCTCTGGCTGTCCCTTACAGGTCATGCTCTCCAAACGCCTCCTGAGATTCCTCCCACGTGGTGGCTCCTTTCTGCCAAGTGTCATCCAAAACCCCAAAACACAGATAAGACCACCTCACCTCCCGCATGGGCACCTGTGCCAGGACAGCGAGCCTTTTGAGCACAGCCTGCGGTACTTGGCTTTACTGAATTAACTTCTACAGCCCTTCCGTGTACAGGCAAGCCCTGGTGGCGCAGCATGCTCTGATGGTGTGGCACCAGGCCATCCAAGTCTCTAAGGCAAAAGCCCGAGGAAACCTCCGCAGCCCCTCGGCGCATCCGCTCCCAGCGTGGCAGCTGCAGCCCACAGTAAGGTGGGCACCTGCCTCCCGGGTGACAAACCCCTTCAGTGTCACCCAGCCCCAGTCCCCACTTCGCTTCTGAAAACGAGAGGTGAAATACACCGGTTCCCCCCCAATACACCGGTTCTCTCCGGGTGCCCCGTACCGGGGGACACCGGCAGCCAGCCCGAGAGGGTGTGTTTTGCAGAGATGGGGTCTCCGTGAGGGATGTGGGCACCCTCGGCCCGCAGCCTGCCCAGCCCACACCTCCCGCTCCTGGAGGAAGCTCCGGGGAAGCCCGGTTCGCCGGGGCTCTCCCGCCTCCCCCTTTCGGAGAAGGTAACGGGAGCTCAGCCGTGAGGTGAAGGGGGTGAGCCGGGAAACCGGGGAGAGAGGGAACGTCTCCCTCGCCCGGACCCGCGGCAGGCAGGCACGGCCGGGACGAGGGCTCTGCAAAGCGGGGGCGGTGGCGGGGCTGTCATAGCACGCTCGGCCCGCGGCCGCCCGCTCCCCGGCCCCGCCGGGTCACGGTGAAGCCCTGAGGGGGAAGCGGGGCCGCACCGGCAAGGGACAGGGCCCGATCCGGCCGCAGGGCACGGCTGGCGCCAGCCACGACAGCGGGGTCCGGGCTACCGTTACCCACAGCGGTGTCACCCGTGGGGACGCCCAGCAGCCGCGCCTCACCCACCATCTCCCGCAGCACCACCCGCCCGGCGGCCACCCACCCACCCACCCATGGCCGGGCCAGCCCAGCCCTGACACCCCGCT